TCAAACAGAACTATGTTTCGTCAAATCTGTGGAAAGTTATTAGCAAATGAGCAGTACGAGAGCAAAACTGTATGCCAAGCATGCAAGGGATCTTCCGGTTGCATATCATTGCTTGCGCATTCCCGAGTTTTTTTTCGTTCTTTTGTGTCCAAAAAATTAATTTTTTTTTTCAAAAGTTTATAACTTTTGATTGATTAAACCAATTTCAAAGATAACGATATAATTAAAAATACTTTTTAGAAAAAAATATGATGATAAAAGATTGGGATTTTGTATTGGAAAACATTGTATATTTTATAGTTTTTATGGTTTATAGGTAGAGGACGCAATATGTTTTTTTTATATTTTTCCTTGAAAATATAGGATTTTTACACAACAGATGTATTTTTTTCACTTTTGAGTTATGTTTTTTGAAGTTATCTAGTTTTGGGTTTTCGCTCAATACATCTATGCGACTAGACTACCATGCCTCTTCACATAGACTTCTCTGACGTTTGTGAAATGCACAAGCATTAGTGCAGAACTCGGGGTAAATTATAAGTTGTAGTTAGAAACATTTAAATATTCTTATAACAAATGTTCAAAAGGTTGCCTACAAACCTGATTTATAAAACCAGAAAATTTTCGAACTATTGAACAGGAAAACCGGGAAAAAACTTGCAATTTCCAACTGGAAATTCAGTTGCCACCCTGCAGTACCGCATCATGATTTTGTGTGACAAATGTGAACCTGGGTACTCATTTTAGCAACCAATGGTCTTGATACTGATCCACAATTGTAACACAAATTCATAAAATTATGTTGATCCAGTCATACAAAGCTTATATAAACTGTTATAGAACATGTGTGTTGCTTGGGATAAGTTTTGAAGCGTTGCATAGTGGACTTTGGCCTATGTAGATGTGTATTCCCATATAAACTTGAAATGGTTTGTGCCAAGTCATTTTCTTACTAAAGTAGTTCCAATTTTGGAAGGCTAAGCAGGACCCAATTTCGAACCGTTTAAGCACTGTGGAGCGAAAATTTCAAATTTTGCATCAATCTAATGCACATAGCCGCATACTGTCTTCAGCAAAAAAACATTAGCTTGAAAAAATATTATATAGGGTAAATGTCGGCTTCGGCACCCATTGACTGTTTCCGGCAACCAAAATTTAAACGTTAATTTCACTATGTTTTCCCATCAACACACTTCCCTGAATGTATCCAAACGATTCTTTAGCCTTTCAGCTTCAATCTGATTATATTTGTACGACCGAGCAATCCTGTTATGCCAGATTTTTCTTCAAATGAAGCATACGTATTACAAAATGGGGCTGATTTCGAGTTGCCGATAATAGAACAGCTGGTCAATACGCAGTTCGAATGGGAAGGTTGCCCAAGAAAAAGAGGCTGCCGACAATAGTCACACTCACCTGAGAAGTTTGGATCGTTGTAAAAACGCTTCCAAACAGTTTTGAAGAATTCTGTCGATTGGAATGTATAGAGAAGCAAGCAGCAGATGAATGTAAACAAACAGACGCGTCATATATGTGCGGGACGCTGAAAAAATGCTAATAGAAGTGCTGATGAGAATACGTAAATTCCCCTAAAAAGTTTATAATTAAAAACTAAATTTAAAGAGGCAAATATCGAAAACGATCCATATCTTCAAAACTATCAGTAATAGAAAATTTGTATTCTCAACAATGTTTCATACTTTGAGTAGTTCTACAACTTTGCTCAGAAAAGTATCGTTCTATCTCTTTAGGGGAAAAAGTAAGTTTTTTTTTATTTTTTTTTTCGGAGCCATGATACATTTTTGAAATTGTAGGATTGTGGACGATACTTATGTGAACAATTCTTCTAAAGACACTTTTTTGATTAAGTCAATAGTTTACACACATTCAATTAAGTTCGTGATTTTACCATCTCCGATCACTATGCACTGGGTGTTGGAGCATTTCTGAATTCAACTAAGATCCTGAGGGTTGATAAAAATCCATTTCCATAGATGCTAGACGTTGTTAGTTGCTGCAAAATTTAACTTCCAAATGAGTATGTGTGTTTCTTAATAGATGTTACACCTAATTGTGTTTGACAAAATTTAACATAGATAGGTGCGTCTGATAGATCCAGCAGTGTCAAAAAAATCAATCCTTTGCAATGCATTGGAGCGTCTTTGAGGAAATTAAAGAATGGTTAAGAGTTAAGCCGAAGAGGTCGATTTCTTTCTGAATACTTGTAGTTCTTGTTCCGTATTGTGTTCTTAACAGCCTGATTGGCACAGAGAATCAACTAAATTAGAATTTAGAATAATGGTTTTGTTCGGATGGATTTTTTTTTCATTGTTTTGAGCAGCACTATTATATGATCGAATAATGATTCAAAGATATGTAGATACGCATTGCCTTGTCAGCATAGAGTGGCTTTATTGAGTATTATAGGTTTTCATTGTAATACTGGTAAGGTCGGAAAATTCACTTCTCAGTGAAGTTTTAGTATTGAGATGGAATTAACTTACAGAATTTTGGATCAGCGTTTGGTTAAGTGTATTATTCGGAATAATTTTCTTGTGGAGCTGGGTCTAAAAAAAGTGTTCAAATGAAAATAAATATAATGGGATTAAAGACGAGTGTTTCACATGTAAAATGTAGCAGAACCGCTAGCGTTGAGCTCGTAAACAGTCAGAAAAGAACTTCTAAGAGTGAGAAAATTACCATGCCAAAAATCTCTTCTCGTATCATGGAGTAAATCGAGGTAAGAAACAGATCATGCGTTTGCGATTAAGCAAGCCTTTTTTTGTAGATTTATATCGAGATGGTTGCAGTTTACTTTACACATCGCTATCAATCATGAATTGAACTGATTACCTGGCACTTGCCACCATTAGTGAATTTACAGAAATGCGGTGCCTTCTGAAGTGAAACTAATAGTGATTGCTTATCTCCAACATAGTCGAGCTATATGCACGGAGATGAAAATTAAGTACTTTTCCCTCAATTCCCGGGTTCAACCCAATAACCCAAATTTGAATAAATCGCATATAGTAGTTTCCATTTAACACCAGCAAAAAAATACTTACTCTTAAGTAAATTCTACCTAAAATTAAGTTTAAATCACGTAAATTTGAGAATATGCAATTTACTCAAAAGTAGCTTATTGGGCTGAACTAAATCGTTGGGTCGAATCTCTCGTTCCTTTTTTAATAACTATAAAGAGTGCAAGTGAGAGGCTGAACTCAATATTAAGTAAAAAGAACTCAAATTTTGGGTAGTATTTTTTCTCCGTGATATGCTGGTTCACTACACACTATTTCTAAACAACCCAAATTTGAGTAGCATCTACTAATATCCGTCAAAAGTAGGGCTATTTACTCAAAATTTTTAGTAAACAAAGTTGGAACTGATAAGATGACAAATGAGCAACATCGTTCGGATTGAGGTTAATGTTGTCCATTCGTCATCTTGTCAGTTCTAACTTGGTTTACTCAATTTTAGGTAGCCCTACTTTTGACGGATATGAGTAGATCCTACTCAAATTTGGGTTGTTTAGAATTAGAGTGTAGATCAACCAATTTCAGTTGCTCCTGAAATATACTGCTGTGGTAGATGCAGACGTCTTGTTTACATTATGCGAACTATTTATTAGTGCAGTTTTAATTCTTTAGAACCAGCACAGATGTAAACACCCTGATAGCGGTGGGTAAACAGATCTACTTCATGTAAACAACGCGACCAAGAAGGATCGTATTCTACCTTCTACCGGCAGGATGCGGCTGTGAAACCACTCGGCTCCGGTGTCATAAACACTCGGCTTCGGTGTTTGCCAACGGTGCAAAAAATTATACACGGGCACCGCTAGCAGTGTCTTGTTCGCTATGTTTGGTGTTTGCTATCGAGCACTGGCACGGAGTGTAAAATTCAATGCTCTTGGTGGTGTGTTTGTAGGCAAAAGTGCTACCCATGCAAAATGGTTCGGTGTTTTTACCATGGTCGCTGGGCTTGTGACATGTGATTTGATGGATCGCATGACGGGTTTATCGGGTTTTATCCAATTTCAGAAACTGATCGTTTCGCTATCTGGATGTGGCCAATGATTTCCTGGACATTAAATATGACCACCTTTGATAGTATATTCTAAATTTCATGTGATTTTATTTATTGCATGCTGGTGTGATAATATTTTGAGCCACCACTCGCATTCCTGGACATATGAATTCCGGCCACATTTCATAACCGTAGGACCGTAGGTAATAAATGTATCTTTATTTGATACTAAAATTGTCAACTATGGTGCGATTGTTAATCTGAAACTTTGGCTTTCAATTTATTGTTTTCTATTCTTTAGTGAAAAAGGGGGAACATTTTCAATTATCGCCTATGACATATTTTCAAACCTTCTGCATCTTGGTTATATGATTAATTGTATAACTTTTGACAAAAAAATCCGAGGCTCACGCAAGTTTGATAATATTCGTGTTTCAATATTCCGTGTCCCACGGTAAATCAATTTAGTCGAAAATTGTATACAGTGGGAACCTTGATCATGTAACACAATTTTCTTCATTTTAACAAAAAACGGTATATTAGCCATCTATTTATTTATGGGCAATGCAAATACATTTTGCTAGAAGGAAGCATTAAATATATTTAGCCCAAAACTGATTAACTGGCCCAATCACATTTTGTCTTCTAAGGAAGAATGCATAACATTTGAGCATTATTTGACAACAGTAACGACACCGTTTTTTTTTATTTTCGTTGGATTATGCATACATTCATGCTTCGCGAAAACACATTTATAGAAGATACAATCCTGTATATATGCACTGCATCGGATGCACCTAGCAGTATGGTTGTGTTGGTCTTTTGAGAAATGTCAACCCTCTATGAAGCAAACATAACAGCAAGCAGGGAGAGAACGAGACAGCAATCAAGATGACATGCAAGGAATGACGGGATGTCGCAGCACTGTGGCCAAGAGGAATGAACGGGACGTGTAGCCACCCAGGGCGAGAAGAGCGCGTGTGAGCGGGCGATTTTGGTGATGAATCGGTGTGGTTTATTTTTTCACAATTTTGTATGCTAAAATATCGGAAAACGAAGAAATTGGTGCTCATTGTTCCGGACAATACCGGATTCCGGTATTCACAAGTTTCGTTAACTAGTGTAGTTAAGCGTGGAAGAAAATCAGGGAAGGCTACGTAACAAGTATATTCCGACGAAGCGAACTGGGACGAACAACTTTGGGCTGGAGTGGAAGTCTGGTGGCAGTGGCCCCACTAGGACGCACAGGAGGACCAGCATTGACTACCGTAGTGGCGAGGAATCAGTGACACCTGAACGGAGCTCTAGAGTTTGGATGTTCTTGCGTATTTTCTTCCGTGTAAATTTCCATTACTCTAATCTAATCCACCCATATATGTCATCAGTTTGATTTTTTTTTTCATTGTATAAGAACGCTTCTGGCTTCAGTGCAAAAGTGCAAATTTGATGATTCAAGAAAATGAAACAGTTGCTAGCTTTAATCTAAAACCGATTTTAATCAATTAACGCTTTTTGGAGTGGTATCATGAGAAAACCATATTGCACTAAAATGTAATCGATCAGCTTCAATCAATATTAATATAATTTAAATACTACGAAACTAGTTCGTGAGGGCTAGCAGCAGATTATTTTTCCTTATCTATAGAGGCACTATTTTCAACAAAATGTCACTAGAGTAACTATAAATATGGGTTAATAAAATAATATTAATTTCATAGATCCTGAACACCTCTAGTGATGCATAGGGCCAACGTAAAGATTTCCACCCTGGGCGGCTGTGATAGGAAATTGGTTTCTAAAGCAACATTGCTTAAAATATGTTGTCCTACAAGCCTGTGGAACAATGTTTCGGTCTATCTCATAATCCTGGGATGCATTATATTTTATTTTTTAATTTACTAGAGATCTGGCAAATTATTTGCTCTAGTCACTTTAAAAACTAACAACAACTAATTGGTGAAATTTATTTTTTTGATATTTTCCCAACACTGCTGGGGAATGAGTTTCGGAGGAAAGGTTTTCTGGGGAATGTTATAGAACCTGTACATGTGTTGTAAGGGAATTAAAAACCGGATTTATTCCGGATCGATATTCTGTAACTCGATATTTTCAGTGATTTATAATTCGGTAATTTTTAAATGTATCATTGGAAACCGGGAAATAATCGGAAATTCTTCTGAAATCGCCATGAGCTTTGACCCATGAAGATTTTAACTTTGTCAAGCGTTACTTTTCCAAATAATTTTATATTAAAAATAATAAAGTGTCATAATTACCTTAGAATTTTGCACAGAATAATCATGGGACTCACAGAAAATACCCTTGGAACTCTTATCGTATCGTGAATTTCTGTTCGGAATTCCATTGAACTTCCGCCAAGAATTTCCCCAAAATCCTCCATAGAATCTTTTAATATTATTCTGAGAATTCATATCAGTCGCAGATTATCTCAAAATTTTAATCAAAATTATCCTCAGGAATCTTAGTGCCGTATGCTTGATAAAGTTTGCACCATTAAACGCTGTGAAAACAAACACAAAAATCTGAAAATTATCGGAGTGAAAAAAAAATATTCAACCGGTATATGTTTGGAAGAACTTGAACCTATGTTAATCATCGATAGAATTTCCATTTGCCAGAATTACGGTCTTCACACGTTTCCGGAATGCTCAACAGGTTCTGATAATATATTCCGGATCCATATCTCTCCAGGTGCGGGTCAATGTTTGTCTGAGGCTTGCTGCACTGAAGTGGCGTTTGGCACATGCCTTGGCCATGACGCGCCACACTGAGTAATCCAAATGGTTAAGATCGCGGTTGGATGGCGGCCACATATCTTTTGACCATGCAACGGAATATGTTCCTTCATTAAACAGCAAAAAAAGGTTATCTTCCATTTAATTCCACTTCATTAATTTTGGTATCCATGACAGATACGTATTTCGACTACAATGTGCAGTCTTCATCAGTTTCATTCCCACTAAAGAACTTATCAAAATCTAACCCCCTTAAGTACTCATCCCATAGGTAAAAAAAAGTCAAGATCACAGGTATAAAATCTATACAACTCTTTAATAAGGAAAATCTCAAAGCCTTGGTAGCCATCATAATGAAGTAATGAAATTGGGTTGTTAGCGGACTGCTTGAATAAAACAGAAAAAAAAGGTTATCTTCCATTTAATTCCACTTGTTGAGTTGTATAGATTTTTCTCCTTTAGTTTACTTAAATCTTTGGTTTTTATTAGTTCGGTAGGTTCCGATTCATCTATTCCCAGGGAAGTCGAGAAATTTTTAAACCCGAAAAATTCCTAGACCGGACCGGGAATCGAACCCAGCCACCTTCAGCATGGTCTTGCTGTGTAGCTCCACCTTTACCGACTGAGCTAAGGGAGGTCCCAGAATGCCGATATACATATGCATTTTGTATGCATTTTAACCCTATCAGGAATGGTGCTGACATTATCCCGCATACGGTATGTGTGGACTACACTAGGCTAGACCTGGGTACAGCGGAGTCGATCGAATTTATTTTGCAAGCCGCAGTTTTCCATGCTTGAAAATTTTGTCAAATTTAATAACTGTTTTGTTCTTTCTCAGTAGATTCCCACCAAAAGCTCTGAGCCAGGATTGTTCGAGCCCCCATGACTCTATCAAAGTATGTTTTACTGCAATTGAAAACTCAGCTGAGTCATAAAAAACTATGCTGATTTTTATACTTTCATAACTGAGCCTGCTGGTTTTTGTTGTTGAGCTTTTTATTAAGAATGTGTTATGAAAATATGATAATTTTAATGAGATTAAAACTTGACGATGGAATCTATTTCTTTTGAAACTATCCTCAGAAAACCCTTTAAATTCTCGCCAAAATTTCCTTATAATTATCTCTAAAATTCACTTGATATTCTTCTCACGATCCTCATAGAATTCTCAGAATCATCTGGGGATTCTTCTTGAATTTATTTTCACTATTTCCATGGACTTATTCTAATAATTACCAATTGAATTCAGAACGTTCTTTGGAATTTATCTCATAATTTCGTAGCACATTATCTCAAAGTTATCTTGGAATCCTGGTTAGAACTCACTTAGGATGTTTGCCAGAATATTGTGGAAAGTCTTCTTGGTATTTATCTTGAATTAAAGCAGGGCACAGTGGTCCAGAATGCAGATTTAGGTGGAAGAATATGTTTTGAGCCTAAAATTGAAACTAGACTAAAAGTCTCTTTTACATAGTTGTTCCTTATAGTTAGGCCCAGTGGTGGCACGAGTCCTGGAGTTTAACATTTTTTCCTTAACATTTGATACATTTTGCGATAACCATTGTAACGACACATAAAAACAAACTGGCAAGCGGCAAAAATGTCATGACATTTCTAAACAGTTTTCTGCCAGCGACAGAACATTTTCGCACAAAGAAGCAGACAAGACCGGCGGCGCGCGCGACATAAATTTATGTCGTGTAGAATTTTGCTGATTTCTGGCTAATTACTGCACTTATTTGATGTTTATTGCATGGAATTAAAAGATAAGAATGAAGACTGACCACTCATAAGCATTGATGTTAAAATTATGCGTAAATAAGGGAGTTGGTAATTTACTGTCACACGCAAGCCTGCAGCTAAATTTTCATTACAATAAACTGTTTGGAAAAATCAGGCTGCGAGATTTTATTTATTCTCTATCTCCGCTGTTCGCTTGGAATGTAGTTATACACGGTCGCCCGTGTGCTGGCTGTTTTGTTTCGCTCTGGACGATGGTTTTTTAAAAAATGTACTGTTGCCACCTCTGGTTAGGCCCTTATTTTTATGACAATGCATTCTAGAGTGGTTCTTATTATCATTAAAATAAAAAATCTAACTTTTTTTGTTTGAAGAAATTAAGGTATACGTTATTGCTGAGCTAATTTCAAGCAACTTTTTAAAGAAGGACTTTTGTGTATCTCTTAAATTGACCGATTTAGAGCTATTTTCTAGAATTGAGTTAGGGTGTCTCTAAAGAAAACAGTTGTTTTGCTCTAGTTTTCTTATTTCAAATTTCTCAGCAAAGGTGTCTTCAAATAACGTTTAGATCCAGGGCTGGCAAATGTCATTTTCAATAAAAGATCTCACGCGATTTTTACAGAGATACTTCTGTCACTATCATTGGATGAGAAAACGATAATAGAGATTTTCTTCAAAATCTCATCGAATTTTTTGTCATGACAGGACGTGACAGTGTTGTGATCATCGTAATTACTAGCTCATTTAATGCTATTGAAGATACTTGTACCGAGCAAATCCTAATAATATATTCACTCCACTGATAACATACGGTTGTTTGCTTAAATTCATCTAAATCAGTTAGAAATGTTGATGTTAAATCCGCATAAGAATTATTCTCATGAGTGCTTGATCATTGAAAAATGACAAGAAAGCTAATGATAGGTAGTCTCGTCTCGTGATAGTGAGAGGACCTGTTTTCTCATCGTCACATGATGGTCGTGATATTTACCAGCTCTGTTTAGATCTTTAGAAGGCGCAAATGTTTGCTGCACAGAGCTTGTCGATATCTTTCCCTGATCAAGAGTTATTGACGTTTTTCTACTAAAAATATGCCCTTTTCAAATGTTAATATCTCTGATTGGAGCAAACAAAAAACATTTTTTACAGCATTTGAAAGGACGTATGTTATTCTCAATAATATGACAAAAATTAGAGGTATGTTATTTTTTAAACTTATTTTTTTGATTTCAGTGATAATAAGAACCACCCTAGAATTCATTGTCATAAAAATGAGGGCCTAACTATAAGGAACAACTTTATAAAAGAGACTTTTAGTTTAAATTTCAAGCTCAAAACATATCTTTCCACCTAAATCTGCATTCTGGACCACTGTGCACGGTTCGTTTTGGTAAACGATAAGCTAAATTGATGTCCTAACGATCATATAACGCGAAGAAACTTGGAATTGAACCCACGGTCTTCTGTTCACTAAGCAAAAACGTTTGCCACTAGGAAAACGAGCTCCTAGAGCTCATAGAGGTGCTGTTATTGCCATGCAGTCATATTAACAAATAAAACGATTGACGAATCTTGTATGTGAATGGGCCTGAGATTAGACTCATGATGTTCTGCTCATTAAGCAAAAACGATCATTCCCACTAAAGAACTTATCAAAATCTAACCTCCTTAAGTACTCATCCATTAGCATTATTAGTGAGGTTCATCTCTACTTTTTTGCTGTTTTATTTAAGCATTCCGCTAACAATCCAATTTCATTACTTCATTATGAGGTTACTAAGCTTTTGGGATTTTCCTTATAAGAGAGTTGTATAGATTTTTTTCCTTTAGTTTACTTAAATCTTTGGTTTCTATTAGTTAGGTAGGTTCCGATTCAACACATTGTAGTTTCATTTTTATACCTGTGATCTTGACTTTTTTACAAATCATATCCTAATGCTACTTACAAATGTCGTAGCCTCAGAATCATGGAAATTTATCTAATACCATTTTTTAAGATTTCTGTTAGTACAACCTACGAAGTATTCAAACCATACAAATATTCCATGACTTAATTCCTCAGTAAGTTCCAAGAGGTCTTGAGTTTAAAAAAAAATAATGCAAATTGTTTTCCTAAGTACCTATCTCGATAATATTTTTTTCTGCATATTCTATTCAATCACTCCACATTCCAGGATTACTTATAATTGACTAGCACCTGGACTGAAAGATTCATAATTATTATTTGCAGACCTATAATTGTTGGATGACTGTAAAACGTTTATCAAGGATCAAAACATTGTCAAGATTATATCGTAAGATTTATTTTTGAATAGGGTTACGTTATGTCGGCGTAGTCCCTCACTTCGGCCTAACAAGCAAGTAACTCATTCATTCAAAAATAATACACAATAGTAACGAAAAACTAATGCCACATATCCGTAAACGAATTGTCTATTTTTGAGACAATTATTCATATTTTACCCGGCCACGGCTGAAAGTCTCTTTAATAAATAAATCTAATATAATATTCATATTTTCCGATTTCTTTCACTAATCATGTGTTATTACTTCATGTATGAAGTGAAGAGATGAAAGTATATAGTTGATAGTTCCGTTATAATACGGTAATGTAAAAAAAGTAGAAAGCATGCAAAGGACAATTTTGAAGAAGGTACGAATAGGGTAGAGCATCCCCTTTACCAAACTCATCCGTTGATGAGTTGCTAGTGGTGGCGGAGGGAAAATACCTTCTTGTGGACCCTACCACGATTGCTTTTATTTGTTTTGTTATGTGAAATTCAGATGAACTTTATTAGTATTGATAATGGACGAATGGAAGCTACATAAAAACTATTTTCGGTGCAGAATGTCAGAGTAAAAGTAAGATTTTTGCGCCATCTATTGAGTATCAAACTATCCGATAATATCAATATATAGTCATAATTATTGCGAGAAACTTTGCTGAAGACACCAAGGCTGTGTTATATATGGTAAATTTTCTCTTAAATTTGACAGATGGAAAATTTTCATATTAACTTGCTATTCCACCACACTTATTCCCAACAGACCAGGAATCAATTTTGACAAACACCTTTGAAAGAATCGGATGATCAACAACAGAGGGATTTTCGAACATAATAATTTATTTTCGCAGTGTCAAATTTAAGTGAAAATTCTTCAAATGGAATACAGCCCAAGTCACGGAATGCTTCATGCCCATAGCGCATTTTGCAAGAAGGTACATGACTTACGTCACTCTATCTGTAAACGTTGAAAGGTCAACTGATCGTTGTTAGTAACCGGCCTTCAGTATTAACATCACTTCCACTATTCACTGTTGCTCAGCCTATCACCATAATCTGCTATCAGTGAAAAACGAATCGATCACATTGCATCTAATAGCACATTTTGATCTCTTTGCTCCCTCAGTGCTGTAACGATCAAGAAATGAATACGCTGAATAAGTCTGCTGGACCGACTGAGAACGGAGGAGTGCACAACGAGCGGTTGGTCATCCTCGACGCCGGGGCACAATATGGAAAGGTAATGCGGAGCTTTACCATTGGGCAATCCAGGACTCGACAATTTAACATATTTTTCCCATCTAGGTTATCGATAGGAAAGTCCGCGAACTGAAAGTTAAATCCGAAATTCTGCCGCTGGATACTCCTGCCCAGAAGCTCAAAGAACAAGGCTTTAAAGCGATTATCATTTCCGGTGGGCCAAACTCCGTGTACGCCGATGATGCTCCGCATTATGATCCGGATATTTTCAAAATAGGATTGCCTATTCTAGGTAAGCAAAAGCTCATATTCTTCTTTTTGTTCTTGACGATAGGTGGGTTATTTGTCATTTTGTATTGCAGGTATTTGCTATGGTATGCATATTATGAACAAGGAGTTCGGTGGCACTGCACACAAGAAGGACATCCGCGAAGATGGCGAACATAGCATCGAAGTGGAAGCATCTTGTCCCCTGTTCAAGTAAGTGTGATTTAGGATTCAGTATAGCCGTATGCATTTAAATGGGAGGTATAAGAAAAGGATTACTATTTAAGTTAACAGCAATTCTTGATACAAGCCTCCGAAAGTAAACCTACAGACACTGGGAACATCTTCCAATACTTTCAGTTTTGGTTTGGAAGCTACACGTTGTGTCACAGATTCATGATGGAATTAACAAAACATTAGAGCAACAACCAGATGAACCTATTATTTATAAACTCTATCTTCTTACAGAGGCCTTACCCAAGTGCAAACGGTACTGTTGACACATGGGGATAGCCTGGACCAGGTTGGTGATAAAGTGAAGGTGTGCGCGTATTCCTCTAACAGGATTGTAGCTGGTATCTACAATGAACAGTTGCGAATCTATGGCGTTCAGTTTCATCCAGAGGTAAAATTCTTGTCATGATTAATGCTCCTGAATATAGTAAATCATGCAGAATATTCTTCGGTGCTTTTATAGGTGGATCTAACGGTTAACGGCAAACAGATGCTGTCGAATTTTCTGTACGACATCTGTGGCTTCTCGCAAAGTTTCACCATCCACAACCGTGAGGAGGAGTGCATCGCTTACATTAGGGAACGTGCTGGAAATAATAAAGTGTTGGTAAGATAAATAAAAAAAAAAAACGTAAAATATTGCTTTTAACTTATGTAAACGTATTATTTTTCAGATGTTAGTTAGTGGCGGCGTCGATTCCTCGGTTTGCGCAGCCCTTCTTCGAACTGCCTTAAAGCCGGAACAAGTTATTGCTGTTCATATTGATAATGGTAAGCATAATGTAAACTTATTTGAAAAATACTGCCCATAAAAGCATAACTGTCCCATCTTAGCTTGATTTCCTATTCATATAGGGCAGTTATTATACTTTTATGGTAATTCTTGCTGGAATATTTCCTCTGTTTACCTAAGAAATATCCTTGAATTTCTAGAGTTGGTTGGAAATGATAACATGAAGCTTTAGGGTGATGATTTATTAGCTAGAGAATGATCTTTAGAAGAGGGCAGGTGGATAGTTCCGTTAGAGTACGGCAGTATGAAAATTGAATAGAAGTTGAAAATGAGCGAAGGGCCATTAGGCAAAAGATGTGCGTCTTTCTTCAAAAAACTGTCGCATTAATGGCCCTTCGCTCATTTTCAACTTCTATTCAATTTTCATACTGCCGTACTCTAACGGAACTATGCACCTACCCTCTTCTAAAGATCATTCTCTAGCTAATAAATCATCACACTAAAGCTTCATGTTAGCATTTCCAACCAACTCTGAAAATCGCTAACTTCACGTATGAAGTAACATAAAAAAAAACACTTTGAATGCTTGAATTTCTAGTCCTTTCGCTCATGTATGGTTAAAGAACTGTACCATCAATGTAACAGTGCTCATGCTCCATTTACCGCTCACTTTTGTAAAAAGTAAGAGGTTGTATCCAAGACACGACTGCAGAGTTGACGTAGAATTACGAAAGGTAGTTTTGATGTCACAGATCAATTTTGCTTGTATGCTTTGATGCAAACTTTAAACCCCTCCTATTAAAACAATTCGGCAAGAATTTTGTTTGGCTTAATTCTCTTACAGATACATACAGATAAGTACCGCCTGGCATGCTCAGTGCTCGGTATCAATATTCGGCGACTGTGTTAGGGAAATCCCTAAATGCGATCAACCAACATAGCTAACCATATCCCGTATCGTAGGTTTTATGCGTAAAAACGAAAGCTCTGCAGTAGAGAAATCGCTCCGTGAGCTTGGAGTTGACCTGCTGGTGAAGGACGCGTTGTATCAATTCACCCGAGGCAGCACTACAATAAAGGTTCCCGGCTCGCTCTACAACCAGGACACGCCAATGTTGTGTCAAACGACCAGCCCCGAAGACAAGCGTAAAATCATCGGTGACGTGTTTGTCAAAGTATCGAACGAAATCATCAAAGATTTGAACCTGAATGCGGAAGAAGTATTCCTAGCGCAGGGTACACTTCGGCCAGATCTTATCGAATCGGCCTCCTCGTTGGTCAGTGCAAAGGCGGACACAATCAAAACTCATCACAACGATACGGAATTGATTCGGCAGCTGCGCGAGGCTGGACGAGTGATTGAACCACTCCAGGACTTCCACAAGGACGAAGTACGGCTGCTTGGGTATGAACTGGGACTTCCAGCACATGTAGTTGAACGACATCCGTTCCCCGGTCCTGGTTTGGCCATTCGGGTGCTTTGCGCGGAAGAGGCTTACATGAAGGATTATTCAGAAACACAGGTTAGTTAACATGTCAAAGCTGTTGACATTAAAATACTGATTAAACTATTTTCCTATTATCTTGACAGGTCATAGCTAAAGTTATAGTGGACTACAAGAAAAAATTGGAACAGAATCATGCTCTGCTGAATCGTGTATCCGGAACGACGTCGAAGGAGGAACAGGAGGAGCTTTGCCGCATTTCCAGTAGCATTAAGCTAAATGCTACTCTACTGCCAATTCGAAGCGTTGGAGTTCAAGGTACTTAGTGTTGTGTTTGCTACTCTACCAATATTTTTAGCTAACCAATACCCCACCTAGGTGACAAACGCTCGTACAACTACGCGGTGGGTCTCAGCAGCAAGGATCAACCCAACTGGCAGGACATGATGTTCTTAGCCAAATTGATCCCCCGAATCTTGCATAATGTGAACCGAGTGTGCTACATCTTTGGCGACGCTGTAAAGTATCCGGTGCAGGATATCACTCACACCCTACTGACACAGAATGTGATAGCGCAGATTCGACAAGCAGACAGTATCGCCAACAGGGTATGAATTCGAATCCAACAGATGGATACCCAAACATACGCTCACTCTTAACGTAATTCGTATTATTTTGCCATTACAGATCCTGCTCGAGAACGAGTGCATGCGGAAAATCTCGCAAATGCCAGTCGTTCTGATACCGGTGCACTTCGATCGGGATCCAGCGCCAAAGACGCCATCCTGTCAGCGGTCAGTCGTGCTAAGACCGTTCATCACCAACGACTTCATGACTGGACTGCCAGCCGTGCCCGGAACGGACCGATTGCCAATGCAAGTAAGTTTCTGTGCTGGGATGCGGAGGGTGCGTAATGCCTATGCTCAAACGCTGTCCAGACTGGAGAGTTATAACATGTTATAACGGTTGTCAAATAATTGCAACATAGAAACCACCCTCAATATAGCGCTATAACATGTTATAACTCTGTAGTCTGAACGTACTATCAGTCTACAGAGTTATAACATGTTACAATAATTGTCGACATGAAAAAGGTAATCAAGATAACGTTATAACTCTGCAGTCTAAACAATCCTTAACAAGTTCAGTAGGAGGATATAGTTATATATAAGGGAAATACGGTAGGGTTAACTACCCCATTTTCGGCCTATTAAGCACAACCCGCACTTAGTCTAATCGAGCACAGTTTAGCACCAAACGGAATGTTATTATTACTGATGGCTTCCAAATGTATTTACCTTTCTATATCTACCGTAAGATTTGATAAAGAGAAACCAATCGTTAAGATATTGTCAAAAGTCTAACACTGCTTCTTGACGGCCTACGGATTCTAAACTCGGCCTAACGCATTGAAACGCCAATGAACTTACTTCGGCCTATCGGATGAAGATAAAAATTGATTCGGTCGGAGCGCTTTTTTTGATTTTGGGAATAATGGGTACAAACCTTCATATCGCGCGTTCTGATTGACTGCGTTCCGTAGCTTAATAACTAAAGTATCGTATCAAACGCATAAGTGACTTGTTAACTCTGAAATCATGGATTTATTTATTTGAAGTTTTCTGCTCGATAGGCCCAAAATGGGCGATTAGGCCGAAGTAGTTCTCTACCCTATATATGTGACATTCTTCATGCTCTTCGTCTGATTGTGGATGTTCGACAAGTGCAACTCTAGACGAATAACAAAAAAATCAAACGTTTCCATTGTTTTATGCCAAACGGGTCTACCCATTTGGTATACAGTCGTTTGGCATAAAGTCATTTAGCATCAGGTAATTTGGTATAGTTTTTTTTAAACCAAGGGCCGTTTGGCATAATGGTCATTTGGCATAAAATTCACAGGAAAAAAAAATATAGGTCATTTGGCATTATGGTCATTTGTTATAAAATACACAGAAAAACAAATATATAAAAAAAATTGGCCTTCAATTTAGCACAATAGGTAGATTTTCATACAAACTACCCAACTTTGGCATGTTGCAACTATGTATTGTTATGATCAATTGAGCTGAAATTTCGACACAGAACTACAAATATGTTGAAATTGGCGTGTACGCAATATCAAATTATTGGAAGCGCTTGCCGGAAATTGACGGACTAGTTGAAAATGGCCAACTAATTAACACATTTATAATTCGAAATTTTCGAAGCGTTATAGTTTTAAAATGTTCAACCATATTGCCAATAAACGACGGCACGCTTAAGAAAGTTATTTTAGCCTATGAGTTCATCTACCGTTCTGCGCTCTGTCTTGCTGCCATCTGGTCAATTTGCTCCGTTCTCAAAAAAATTCGTATTTCTCTATAGCATGCGCTGTCACTGCATCCGAGATGATTCAGTATGCGCTTACAACTCGTATGGTAATGAGCCTGATCGTGTTCTGTGCACCATCACTTGATTCCGCTTGGTTTCCAGTGCTGCAACCCAGGCTGGACATTCGACGAAGGTACGGTAGCCAGAAGATGCCTCTTGTTACTGACTGCTAGATCCAGAGTTATTTGCTATGACTTCAGGGGTCACATTGCGAATCTCGGAACGAAAGACTTTTTGCACGAACGCTTGTATGAAAAAGTTTTTCGTTTCGAGATGCGCAATGTGGCCCCAGCTACCGCTGTGATGACCCTAGCTGCCTGCTCCTCCATAGTCGACGTGGCTGTTGATGTTCAGCCGGTCGTCGTTCATAATTCCCAGGTATTTCAGCACGCGCTTCAAGGCTATGCACCGATCTGAAGTTACTGACCTATAGCACTTTCGTTATGTGGTGGGCTATCTGCAGCTTCGCTCCTTATCCTAAAAAACGGCTGAAATGGGCCCTAGGTATTGAAGAACATCATGTGCGACATAATCACCTATATTCTCGATTTCGTTCGAACCGTATTTTCCATACAAAGAAAAAGTATGGGAAATACGGTTCGAACAAAAACAAGAATATGGGTGAATTGTCTGAACAGATATGTAATAACATCCAAAAGCGATGCGTGATGATGCGTCACAGTTTTTGACGCATATCCCTCTGAAAGTTACGCCCTCGGATGTTTCGTTTCTGCTCGGGTTGTCAGGTCTCAATGAGTCCTTAAGGTTTTCTAGGCATGCATTGATGTCCTACAATAGGCTCTATCCTAATCCCAACCGGGCCAATTCTGTAGGTTCTTCTTCTACCTGGATTTAACGGTCGTCTACGCCTACTCTCAACAGTATTTCCACATTTTTTAGGTGGAGTGCTGATTGTGATTTAAAACACACTGAAATGTTAAGTTGTTTCCATGGCTAACTGTAATGAACTAGAACAAATCGCAGTTTGCATAAAGTCGCAACGTCGTTCACTTTACGTAGTTGCTATCTATATGCCACCTATTTAATTCGAGTACCGAGTTATATACTGTTCATGCAAGTGCAGTACAACTTGTTGCAGATCGTCTATAGGAGTCTGACATAATCTTGCCAGTTGGCGATTTCAATCTTCTTAATTTGCGATGGCATCTTGAAGAGGACTTTAATGGATTCATTCCTTCGAATGTCTCTGATACTAAGCTGAACTTTTTTACAGAAGCAATGTTTGTCAACGGCATGAGGCACATTAATAGTTTCGTCAACATAAATGGCAGACTGCTGGACCTTGTATTTACCAATCTACCGGAATATCTTGACCTGCATGCACCATCTTCTCGTCAACAGCCTATTTATAGCCAGACATTTTACTACTTGACGAGAGTGACGCACCAACACTACTTGAAGATCATGATCAATGTTTCAAATTTGAAAATTTGGCATATGACTTTGACTAAAGAGCCTGAATGTATAAAGATACGACATCTTATCCATTTGACAGGTCTTCTGCTCGATTGGAATAACTTTTCCTATGACTTTGACAGATAATCGATTGTTCCAATTTTGACAAGTCGTCTCTTTATAAATGCAGGTTCTTTAACTTTGACTTGTTGAACTCTATTTTTGTGGACATTGAGTGGGAACGATTATCGAATAATGGTACGGTAGATCAGATGCTATAGCTTTTTACGAATCTCTCTCTGAAGTTATGAACCGTCATGTACCTCGAAAAAGACAAACATCGATTTCAGTTTTCAACAAACCGTTGTGGACTCCTGAGCTACGTAAGATGTGCAATCTATATTTCCTTACAAAAAAATAAGTCCGACTTAGCTAGACTCCGTGAGCTTGAGTTAGAGTACAATGTTATTCTTTCTGCAACACATGAAAACTTTTTGCTCAGTATTCACTCAACCGTCAAGCAAAATCCTTCGCGTTTCTGGGACTCCTCAAGAAAGCTGGTAACGACATCCCTGGCTCGGCCAACTTCGATGGAATCACTTCTCAGCTCAAGCCAATATCTTTGCTACTTTATTCGAGTGCGTGTTCAGTAAAGCATCGATACCGTCCCGTATCATCAAACTACTATGTATACAGTTTTCTCCAGACGAATGTCAGAAAGCCCTCGAAAGATCTCGATTCAACGAAAGGACCCGGAACAAACAGCTTGTCTTCTGTTTTTTTTTTTTTTGAAGAACTACGCGACTACGCTTGCGACGCCCTTCGCTGCTGTTTTCAACCGTTCGCTCCAAGACAGAGCGTACCCAAATGCATGGAAAACGGCGTCCATAGTACCGATGCATAAGTCCGGAAGCTACAAGGATGTCGCTTATTATCGAGGTGTATCCATACTGTGTAGTCTCAGTAAAGTATTTGAAAAACTTATCCACACAGTTTTGTACAGAGCTGCTGCATCGCACAACTTTATGAAGCATCGTTCAACAACATCGAATTTAATCACTGAATGGCTCTATTCATACCTGTCTGATCGCAATGCTTTCGTTATGGCGAATTCCGTGCGTTTCAGGACTTTCAACATATCATCTGGTGTTCCCCACAAGGCAGTGTTCTCGGTGCTGTCATTTTTATCATTTATGTTAATCACCTGTGTGACCTGATCTCTTCATCCAAACTTTCTTCTTCTTCTTTCCTTTATTTAACGTCGGTCTCTGTTCCGCAATCTAGTGCCAATCACCGACGGACATCGATTGCCATCCATTGACGGCAATCGAATGTGCAGGAAGGCAGCTTCCACACCTGCGTAAGATATCGCACTCATTCATGCACACATGGGCTGGGACCAACGGCTTTACTTCCCTTCCGAAGGAAGACGTGACCAGAGATTTTTATGCCTCATAAAAATCCCACCGACCTCGGCTGGGATTGAACCCAGACTCACTGGGGTGAGAAAGCAGTCACGTTTACCACTACACCATCGGCGCCGGCCCAAACTTTCTTTTGCCGATGATCTAAAAATTTTCCGTTTTATTGTTTCTCTCGCTGACTGTGTCGCAGTCTCGCAGTACATGAAAATATAAATCGTGTGATAGTCTGGTGCGGTGACAACGACATGCGCGTAAACAGCTAAAAGTGCATATTCTTCACCCGCTGCAACAACATTATTCACCATCAATACTACATGGGGCCAGATTCTTTAGAAAGTGCAAATTTAATCTGTGATCTATGTGTTAAATCGATTCGAAGCAAAGGTTTAACCTCGGGTTTAACGAACACTTAAGCATCGTAACTGCTAAAGCATATACTGTGCTTGGTTTTATTCGTCGTGATGCTTTTGGTTTCACCGATGTTTTTTGTCTCAAGACGCTATTCTGCTCGCTGGTTCGCAGCATCTTAGAATTGCTTCCTCGGTTTGGTCTCCATTTTACGTTACGCATATCCTTGCGATTGAATGGATTCAGAAAAGTTGTATAAGGTTTGCCTTGCGTCCGTTCCCGTGAAATGATCCAGTCAATCTTCCTAGTTATCTCGACCGATGCAAGCTGAGTGATTTGGAATCCCTATCTGCTACCAGGTGCCACAAATTGCAACGACTGCTTATCTTCGACCTCATAACAGGCAACGTGGACTGTCCCGAACTTCTGGAACTGATTCCGTGGAATACTTATCCTCGACGATTCCGTAATTCCCCTTTACTGGCTATTCCATTTCACTGAAAGAACTTTGGATTCAATGATTGTTTTAATTGTTAATTGTTAATAATGTTTTTAATGAATTTGACTTTATGATTACCAAAAAGGTGCTAGAATAAATAAATATATTAATTGAGAGCTTTCTTTGCCAACCAATGTATGGAATTGTGTATTATATGACAATTACAACGTATTGCTCAGTGAAGTCGATTACATTTCCAACCCGAGAGATGTTCTAGATCGGACCGGGAGTCGAACTCCGGGTTGATAATAACGTGCCTTAACTGAAGGCTAAAAAAACCCTAATAGGTATGCAGTATGAGGTCCTATATGAATTAAGGTTCCAATAGAACAGTTTCTGTGTGCCTGATTGAAACGATTTGGATGGGGAGAGTAGAATTGCCAACTCCCTATTGCTAAAATTTCGTGAATTGAAGGTGGGCTCTGCTCCCCACTCATTGCGACATCCCCTCGTATGATGGCTTGTTCTGTATCGGGTTGGCACATTTTTATCATTAGCAGGAGAGTTTTCTCGCTCCCATGGATCACGCGTAAGTGTCTCTGCTTATGGGTATACCCTCCGTTGTTGGCCCTTCATGCAATGGTAAATTGAATACAACCAAATATCGTACTTGATCAAGTCATACGAGGTGAACAGTCCACTGTCTAATGGCTGTGCCCTTATTAGCGAATTCGTTTATCATTCAGTTCCAACCTGGATCGGATATCAAGATGGGCCTGCTTGTTTTTTGACAAATGTCAGTTTTATCGTTTTTTTTTAAACCCAGCTCACGTTGAGGTTCGCACTGACAAAAAGTTCGGTTTCGCACCCGATAATAAACAAATTCGCTATATGACTCGACCTTCTCCGATTTGCATGAATCTTTGCATAATTATGTGTTATGGGCAATCATTCATATTTTTTCAAAAAATCGGCAATGTTGTAATTTTCTTCAAAATGACGTCTGACATTTTTCAGCTCTAAAACCACACTTCTGATCTAAATGACGTCTGAGACAAAGTTTTTTAGAGAAGTAAAGTAATTCTGGAAAAATATACATGTTTTTTTTTTGTAATTTGCAGTAAAAATTCAAAAAAGTGTTAGCTGAAATATTTCAAAAAGTATACCTTCAACTTTTTTAATTAAAAACTGCAAACCAGAAGTGACGTTTTCGTGCTACAATTTACTGAAAATTAATAAAGACGCAATTTAAATAAAAATACAACATAAAAAATCGACGATTTTTTGTAAAAATGTGTATGATTGTCCATAACAACCAAGTTTAAAGCTTATCGGAGAAGGTCGAGTTTTTCCGATTCGTCCTTTAGCGTGGAACTTCTCAATAGCTATAGGAATTAAGTTGAACGCTACGTTCTTAACGATTATTACTGTTACCGCCAATTAATTCATTCAATTCCCTTGTTTCCTCCTTCCAGGTTCTGCAAAAAATGGTCGACGAAATCAGCAGCCTAAGTGGCATTTCGCGAGTTCTACTGGATCTGACTTCGAAGCCACCGGGCACGACCGAGTGGGAATGATTCCCCCAAACAGTGACACGACGTTTACTGCAGCCACTACCACCACCATCCATATTTGCATCATTAGCATCATGAAGAGCATCGTCACCCCGCTGTCGTCGTTATCGTCACCCTGCTGTGGCTGCTGGATCCAATTGAGCCATCGCTGCCCGCTATTGTAGTGGTATCATCTTAAAGAAAGAGCTAGATTATTTTTCTACGATTGTAACAGTATATAGTCCGGTTGAAAAACGTTTAACGTTTACCACGAGGTTTGACAACACGTGACGATCGTTTCCAGCTTCTTGGACAACGAACCGTCGGTTTGGGAATTGTAAAATGTTATGAGTAACACAGTTGAACAAATATGTTATAGAAATACAAAACTAATATTGATGCAGGAAAAGTGCTAAGTTTCAGTATATTTTACTACAGTACTAACCGGGAGATTAAAATTTTCGCTGCAGCTTAGTATGAAGGCTTGAATGACGAAATCAAAATCTATCATAGAAAAAAAACAACTGTCCTCAATCTCAAGCAAATGACGTGGCAGTTACCTGTGAAGATCTCCCGCCAAGAAAAAAGCACTCGAAAGCAAAAAAGTTTTATCAGCGCCTTCTAACAGAACAATCCGTTGCCAATGATTGTAAATGAGTACTAAAACTAACATTTTCCTGCAGAACAACCATCGGCTCACCTCTACAAATAGTGGAAAATGTTAGTAGAAAAAAAGGCTTAATGATTAAGTTAGTATTTTTTATTGTACCATAGGGGTAAGAGGGGCATAGTGAACAAACAGGTGGGGCATAATGAGCATCCCACACTTCAGCCCCAAACCTCTAATTGTTCGAAAAAAAAAATTAGTATTAGGTTCAATATCACCATTGACCAATTAATTTGTTTCGAACCATTAGCAAACCAAGGCTAAAGTACAGGAAGCTCACTATGCCCCTACCGTTAACCTCACCAGTGCACGTTCTAATAAAAACCCACTGTTCGATCGTACCATCGGCGCCGGGCACTATTGGATTTGAACTTGTATAGCGGCAACAACAAAAGAGCCTACCCGGGCGAGATGGTAACCATTTGATCGACTATAGAAAGAGCCGTCAAGTGTCCTCACACACCACTATACATACCGATTAATGTATTGCTTTATCTTTCATGTTTTGTTTACGGATGGTTAGTATTTTGTTATGATTTATAACGGGGTCATATTTTTTTCACGTCGAGGAACTAACATCTCTGCGAGTAAAGATTCCCGGTCTGTTTCAGGAACTCCCCAATTGTGCCGGCGCGTGCATTGACAATCTGAGACCACCCGATGTAAAGGGGCCTCATCATATATGCCGGGACCAAGGTTTTATTTGCAACGATGAATCTCTACCACGATGCTGGATGTCCGTCATCGGGTTCGGCGGTTCGAAGTAGAACTTCCTCTGCTCCTTCATCCGACCCGAAATTGAGGTTGATACTTTGTGCGTCGGTTGCGCGACCTGACACTCTCGGAGTAGGATCATGGCATTTACTGAGAGGGGCTTAGCATTTGCAGCCGATGGAGTGCACAAAGATGTGAAGAGTCGGGTTTGCCGTTGCCGAATACGAACTTTTCTTGCACAATCTCATACTAGGGATATACGATCTCCTCATCCGTCTTCAGAATCCTCCCCATATCGTCCGCTATTGAGCCTGTTCAAACCCATTGAGCAAACTCAGGTACCGACATTCCCAGTATCTACACGATAAATTAAAGATCCCCTAGCGCTGCACAGTCTCGGAATCGAGTTGTGATAGTACAGAATCTTAGCTTGGATTATTCATGGTCCGGGAATCGGCATAGAAACATATCGATTGCCGCTGCTAGTTTTAGGTAGGTTAGGTTCTGCAATCCATTGCAGCTTGATCCTGTAATTCCTGTCTTGTTTCAACATTTTGACGATTTCCCACGCCAGGAAGTTTTCATTCTGCTTGCTTCTGTTCCGAATGGTTTGGCAGGCTCCCAGTAATAATCACTGTTTTATGATGTTTTCTCCTTTGCGAGTTTGATGGCCGAGCGAATGGCCAGTAGTTCAGCGTTGGTGATGGTGTAGATGGGGTTGATTTTCTGCGTCGAAACTTACTGGTCTGTGTGGTCGTCAGTGCGCAAAACAGTCAGGTTCAATGAGTCATTTTCATATGGAAATGAACTCCCATCTCCCTCATAATTCACTGCCTCGAGAGTCTAAATGATAGAGAAGTAAACGAGTCACTCAGTCAGCACGTTTATTCTTCCGTGATGGTATCCAATTCTTGTTTTGAATGACTGAGCGTACATTTTCTATGGAAAAATGCCTCAATTACATGCTGTGTGAGCGAAGGCAAGCGGTGTGAGTCGCATGTTCGTGAGTGACTGGACTGGACTTCCCTAATAAAAATAACCATAAACGAACGATAACCCAAATCATTGAACTATTCCACAAATAGTTTGGATGATACCCAGAACACGTCGTTAAGCAAATTAACCATACAATTTTTATTAGGGTTGGTTGGCTCTTTCATTGCCTCACCCTTCACCGTTTGGTTCAAACAGTCTGGACAGGGCAATGAATTGAATAGTACAGTGCTTTCACACTCAGGTCGTACACCGCCGTTCCCGTCGTCGTTTTGGATGCATCCGTATAAAGGTGGTAAAAGTCTTGGTAGTGTAGATTCTTAATTTCCTAAAATTTTAGGTTCCATAACTGCTGGCTGTAGTTTTCCTTTTTGTTTTGGTACTCGAACATGTCTTCTTTGATGTTCCTGTCCAGTGTGTAGTCCGAGTATTGCCGTCTATTCAAGAAGGCTATTTCGCTGTTTTTTTGGGTTCATTTGGCATATGATGTAGTTGAATTTGAAGGCCGTTTCTGTCCAGTAGGATCCGTTTCCCAAGTTGTTCCTGATTGAACGTTCGGAGAAGGGCTGTAGCTGATTGGTGTGGTGGTAATTTTCAGGAGCTCCTCAAGGGTGAGCAGCTCCCTTCTTCGGCGTGAATCCCATGAATTGGTGTGGTTTTTAGGAAACGCATAGCGCTACGAAGGTTCAAGTTGTGCACAGTTTGGAGCTTCTGAAGGTTTGTTTTGGCCGCATTTTCGTAAATTTGAGCTCCATACTCTAGTTGGCTGCAGATGATGATGACGTTCCCAATCTTGACTAGTGTGTTCGGGTTGACACTACTGCTGCGCTTCCCGAGCATCTTAATTATTTTTACTTTTGCGGCTGCTTTGTCTCCGATGTCTTTGATGTGTTTTCTGTGTGTGAGAGTCCTGTCGACTATGTTCCCCAAGTAACGATGAGTGTTGTTCAGTCAGATCCACGTTCTCTCGTCCTATCCTCATCCTTACTACGCTGGTTTCTTTTCTCGTGTAATAAATATTTTCCCTTATGAGCTAACGCAAAACAACGAAAATTCGAATACTAAAATAAATCAAAACAAAATACTAATCATCCGTAAACAAAACATGATAGGTCAATCGGTATGGTGGTGGGAGGACACCTGACGGCTCTTTCTATTGTCGATCACATGGTTACCATCTAACGCCCGGGGGCTTTGGTTGTTGCCGCTAAAGCACACAGGGATGAATGGATAGTTTGTTTTCCCATTAATCTGTTTCCCTCTTGCTCGCACTCCTTCAATTTAAATGGTGCATTAGTGTGCGCCGATTAAACATCAAAAAGCTCTCTACAAGTTCAGATCCAATAATGCCCGGCACCGATGGTACGATCGAACACCCACACGTATGAAAAGGCAGAACCGGCGACCCTACCCGGCTTCAGAATGAGACATACACCCCTATTCTGTGTTTCGTTTCGAACGAAATTCTCATACAAAAAAATATTTTTTTGTATGAGAATTTCGTTCGAAACGAAATACAGAATAGGAGTCTGTGTTTCATTATTATTTTGTTAGTCTTCACTTTTTCGAAAAGTCAACCAAGAGTTATCTCGTTATACGTTTGTTTCGAACAATCCAATCATAACAAAACGCGGCGGTGCTCATTGCCCTGCTCGCTTTGATGTAACATACTTATGGATTATGGCATCGCATTGTTCCTTTGTCTGTTTGAATATTTAACAATAAACACCTGACGGACTAAGAACTAAGGACGGAAATTGTGTCCAACTGGTTGAACCCACGATGATGAATTGACATGCGGTCAGAAACGCCACTTGCGCAGTGAAATAGGAGTCTGTATTTGAATATTTTTATTTATATGTGATTACAAGAAGGGTCAGAGTCGAAATACATCAATTAAGATGCTAATAGTAAGTGAAGTTTGTAATGGGTTTCATTGGAAAGAAATGCCTGATATCGTATACTTTAGAAATTATGGTCTTCAGATCTGACGGTAGTACCGTAGTACGTAGTACCCAGAGCGAAAGATACTTAGGCCTATTCTACGCAGCGTGTGTGGTGAGGTAGGTAACTCACTGTCACTCGCTGGGTGCATCGATTAGCTTGGGACCGAAGATAGTACCAGAGCTGAGCCAAAAATTTAAGCACATTTCTTTGGGACCTTCTCTGTCGCTATTCGCATAACAGTCCTATGTCCTGTGGATTCCCTATCTACATAGGACTGTTATGCGAATAGCGGCAGTTCTGGTCTTAGAGTTACCGCTATGATAGTAACACATACCATTTTTAAATTTATTTATCAGTTTTTAACGTAATCACCTTCAGATCAAAATATTTTTCGATGTTACTTAAGTCACCCGCTTTCTATGGATATGCCGTTTGTCTGAACCGGGTGAAGAAACCTGTGAAAAGTGTACGTTCGTCGTTTCGCTTTCTCATTATTAAAGTGAATAAATCGAACTGTTTGTTGCTAAGATGATTTTGGTGGTCCTTAAATGATGAATGGGTTGCACGTAAGGAGCCAAAAAGTTGAGCACGTTATTTCGGGACCTTCTAGTCTTAAGAGTTACCTCTATGGTATTATCATAGAGGTAACTCTAAGACTAGATGGTCCCGAAGAAACGTGTTCAATTTTTTGGATCAGCTCTGGTACTCTCTTCGGTCCCAAGCTAATCGATTCACCCCTCGAAACATAGGAAAATCCACTAACCCCTCATTTTATCTGTCAAACTTTCATAGCGAATCAAAACAAACACAGTGTAGTACTAGAATTTCAACTAGAATGGGGTAGGTTAATCGTTTGCTTGGGACCAATAGGCTAGTTAAGTAG